TATTTGTAACAAAGTAACTTTTAGCAATACATGCTTTTTAAAATGAGAGACCATGGTCAAACTTGCTTATTCTACAAAAGAACTAATGTCAAATCTCTGGTCAGTAGTCGAAGTGTTTCCATGAAAGATGACACTTTTATCAGTAACACTATTCATTTATCTGTCCTATTATTGCACCATAGAAGGACGTATTCTTTTTAAAAGTCTTTTTATATCGTACATCTCTCTTCTCAGGTATTCTCCTAGGTTTCTTTATCTTAGCAGTATCTCAAGGAACTTATAGGTGCACAAACCTTGAGTTGTCTCTTGCACACATTAGAATAAGCATTTAGACCAGGAAGACATAAAGAAATGCTGTCATGATGTACCTCTACTAAAACACGCTAGCCACATTTTTCCCTTTGCCATACTTAAGGAAATGAAACTATTTTTTTCTAAGATCAAGAGTTGAATGGAGTGAATAGTATACTTTATAATCAGGGCTGGCATATTTAAAAGGCCATCAAAGCCAAGTAGGCAGAAAGACCTTAAGCTATCCATCTGCCAATAGGAATACATTTTACACAACAGCCCTTGAAGAAACATGTTATCCATTTTTCTCAAAATACTTTTGAGTCACTTTTACTTCCCCATGGTTGAGAATATGGATACAAAGAAATACTTTACTAGTACAGCACAAGTACCAGCACAACTTAAGAGAATGGTACAATCTATCTTGGAATTGGCAAGTAATGAGGAATGGTGTGGACTATAATGAACTAGAGTGCTCTTAACCTCTCCATTAAAGAATCAATTATAATGCAGCTCAGCTAATAACAGTAACTATTGTTATTGTTATTTTGAGATGGAATCTGGATCTGCTGCCCAAGCTAGAGTGCAATGGTGCAATCTTGGCTCCCTGCAACCTCCGCCTCTTGAGTTCAAGCGATTCTCCTTCCTCCGCCTCCTGAGTAGCTGGGATTACAGGGGCCTGCCACCACATTCAGCTAATTTTTGTATTTTTCAGGAGAGACCTGGTTTTGTCATGTTGGCCAGGCTGGTCTTGAACTCCTGACCTCAGATGATCCATTGGCCTTGGCCTCCCAAAGTGCTGGGATTACAGGTATGAGCCACCTCACCCCGCCTCAGCTAATTATTAATATCAGGAAATGAAGGCCTATTTTGCACAAACCTTTTGTTCTGCCAAAGGAGCCAGAAATTTTTATATGAAATTTCTCAATTTCTAGGTCTAACAAAAAGTATGGATCTTTGTCCAAATACAGTCTGCAGAGTGTCTGTGAGCCTTCAGAGTATCTATGAGCCACCAGTCTGATATAAACTGTTATATGATTCATGCTATTCTCATTCTGCTTAGATGGTCCCCTAGTTTCCTCTCTAATTGGGTGATGTAGATGGTCTCTTGGAAGCACAGAGCTCACCACCTTTTCCAAACAAATAATTTTGCTGGGCCATGGGATATCTGTATGCTTAACTTCATCTGCTAATGCCAAATTCTTTTACCTAAACATTCCTATTGTCTTAATTATATAGAATCTAGTCTTATTTGGGCTTTTTTCTCTAATGTAATTGATCACCAAAACAGTGTTTCTAGACCATTATCTCTCACTACTAAAAGCAGAGAACTTATCAGGACACCTATCTACAGTAGTGGGGAAAAAGTAAGAAGAGAAATGTAGGTGAAGGTAAGTTTGATGCCTTTAACAATTTCTAGATAGTCTTGCTTTTGTTTATATTAATAACATAACTTGGCATCTATGAACTGAAGATTTCCTTAGAAAGTTAGTCATAGGTTGATCATATTGGGGACTGTTCAGCCAGTTATTTAGAGGAGTTATGGGAATAATGTCATAAGGAAGCATAATCAAAACAATAGTTGAAAGAAAAAGTTATTTAGAAGCTTTGAATCATTCACAGTGAACCACAATTACTTATTTCCTTTTTCAGATATTCAATTCTTTACCATTGGCTCTATCATATCTGCCTACAAAAATGATTGTATTATCCTCTCTCCCACTGGAACACTCCTATCCTCAACTAGAAAAACTGCCTTGGATTCAACTGCTATTCTGCTGTCAACTCTGTCACTCCTTGACACCTTGCAATTTGGCTTCCGGTGAAAATGTTTCTCAGATGTTATCAGTGATTGCATGTTGCCAAATTCAATGACATTTTGTCTGAACTCATTTTCTTTTCGTGCTCTCACAAAACCTGTATTTCTGATCACCCCTTGCTTCTGCACATCAGTGTATCATATATCTACTGATTAAATACTCATTTTACAAAACTGCTAAATGCTACAAGAGAGACAGATTTAAAATCCATATTTTGTTCTTTGGACAAAATTTTGTACAAAGAATAACACTGAGTGCCATAATCAGGCAAAACTTTAGTAAATGTGCAAATTACTCAGCCTAACACTTATGATCTCACATTATCCAGTACCAAACTAAATTTCTACATACACCAAACTTAAATATGCCCAGTGCTCAGCAAGTCATTCCTTTCCATGCTATCTTCTTCCACTTTATCCCCCACACTAACTGGAATTATACCTAACCTTTGGGGCCCCTGGTTGATTCAGGGTGAGATGATCACCTCCTTCTCTGAATCGCAGCATTTTATGTGACAGTCATCAGATAGTGTGTTATGCCACAGCTATCTATAATCCCTACTGTCTGACTGACCAACTATAAGCCCTTAAAGGTAGGGAGTAGGTACCACTCTTTCTATTTCTGAGAGAAGTAGAAGCATGCAGTGATGGCCATCCATGTCTTCACACCTCCCTGTACCCATACTCTCATGGGTTCTCCTTCCACAGTAACCCTGGCTTGACCATGAAGTTTGTTTCATCCAATGAGATATTAGCAGATCTTATGCAAGCAGAGGCTTCCTGAGCATTTACATCCTGGAGACTGTTTTCTCTTGCTGTTCTCTGGAACTCTGAGACCACTGCATGGGCTAGCTTTGCAGAATATGAAAGACTCCATGAAATACAAACAAGTTCACCCCCCTGAGCATCCCCAAACCAACCAGACCCCAGCCAAGACCCCAGACTGAACAGATCCACCAAGCTGATCCAGGCCCAGAAGAACCACATTGCTGACCACAGCATCATGAGAATAAATGCTTCTGTTTTAAGCCATTACAGTTTCCGGTAATGGAGGGGGAGGTGTTAATGGATGGACAGGGTATCTGGCACACTGTATTATTCTGAGATGAGTAAAAGAATTACTATAATTTTAATAAAATCTCTCTCATCATCCAATTCTTACTTAGTAGATTTTCGGTAGCCTAGAAATTGAAATACTCCATATGTCTGCAAAGGGTTTTCTAGTTTGTTTTGTAAAATGAAAAATCAAAGGGCAGCAATTATAAAAGATACAGTATAAATATTCTGTCTTGGCAGATGGGGATGTAACTTCAGGATTCTCCATTACCATCCTTGAGTCCTCAGGTAAATACTGTAAACTTTCTAGCCCTTTGTTTCCTTTTGTTAAAATAAATGCAATAGCACTAACCTCACAGTATTAGAGATAATACACAGTAAATACCTAATACCATTTCTGGTGCATTTCTTCAATAACCAGGAGATATTGTCATCATACATAATTATTAATCTTAAAATAAGAGAGCTGAAGCCACTGATCTCTAAATGTGTTTCTGGCTGGGCATGGTGGCTCATGCCTATAATCCCAATACTTTGGGAGACTGAGGCAGGTGAATCACTAGAGCTCAGGAGTTTGAGACCAGCCTAAGCAACATGGTGAAACCCCAACTCTACTAAAAATACAAAAAAAGTAGCTGGACATGGTGATGCAGGCCTGTAGTCCCAACTACTTGGGAGGCTGAGGTGGGAGGATGGTTTGAGCCTGGGAGGCAGAGGTTGCAGACAGCCGAGATCATGCCACTGCACTCCATACTGGGTGACAGAGCCAGATCCTATCTCAAAAAATAATAATAAAATAAAAGTTTGTTTCTATACCATTCATTCGCTCTCACTACTAAAAGCAGAGAATTTATCATAATGCTTGTATGTGGCAATCATAGGAAAGTTTGAAAGTAAAACATTGGGGAAGATCATTTTAATGCCTTGAGCAATTTCTAGGTATTTTTATATATAACAACCCTTGGCATCTCCAAACTAGAAATTTTTTCTGCCAATATAGATTAGAAAGTTGGTAATAAGTCTTCATTATATTTGGGGCTGCTCAGTCAATGTGTGCTTAGGAGGGACTGTGGGAATAATAAGTCATAAGAAAACATACACAAAAAATGGCTGGGCATGGTGGTTCACACCTGTAATCCCAGCACTTTGGGAGGCCAAGGTGGGCAGATTGCTTGAGGTCAAGAGTTTGAATCCAGCCTGGCCAACATGACAAAACCCTGTCTCTACTAAAAGTACAAAAATGAGCCAGGCATGGTGGTGGGTGCCTGTAATCCCAGCTCCTCAGGAGGCTGAGGCAGGAGAATCGCTTGAACCCAGGAGGCAGAGGTTGCAGTGAGCTGAGGCTGTGCAACTGCACTCCAGCCTGGATGACAGAGTGAGACTCCAACTCCAAAACGGTAACAATGACCACAAAAAATAAGCAGAAAGTTGTTGGGAAGAAAAAGGTTATTTAGAAGTGTTGAATAATTCACAGTTAACCAGGCAATTAGAAAAGTCCAGATGCCATTAATTGAGTAAAACTGCTTAGTGCCAATAGGATGCTTTCTCATTCTCTATCAGAAACTATATAATTACTTTTACCTTATATCAAAAATATAAATTAGACAATATAAAGATAGGGCATCTGGAACATTTCCGGAATATAATCACCAAAGCACACTAGGAAACCTTTTGTGTCCAGCCCATTGAGCCTGTGTAACGTGAAGGTGCATGCCACCCCCACCGAACCTCAGAGCATGCGAGTGCAAATGCGCTCATTTCAGATAAAACAAGGTAATGACTTCAAGGAAAGCAACAGAAAGAAAGAGATCCTCTTCCATGGCCAAGTGCTCACCTATATAGGTTCCACTGTTGTTACCAGCATAGTCAGCATCTTCTGGATGGAGTGCAAAAGCATACAGAACAAAAGCCAAGAAATAAAGCAGAACAGTTAGAAGGCCAGCCGCAGATGCAAAAAATAAACCACTTAAAACAATTAGGTAAAGCACAGCATAGAACAGCCCTGGCAATGCCACTCTTAAACATAAAACGGTTTGTTTTATATTTAAGTTTAAAGTGATATTTTGAAATATCATGCAGGGTTGTTTTTTTTTTTTTTTAATTCCCCCAACTTTCTTCAATGGTTCTTGGTGCAGTTCCAAGAAAAATTATACATGACTTCTCTGATATATATATATATTTTTTGAGATGAAGTTTCGCTCCTGTTGCCCAGGCTGGATTGCAATGGCATGATCTCGGCTCACTGCAACCTCCACCTCCTGAGTTCAAGTGATTCTCCTGACTCGGCTTCCTGAGTACCTGGGATTACAGGCACACACCACCACACCCAGCTAATTTTTGTACTTTTAGTAGAGGCAGAGTTTCGCCATGTTGGTCGGCTGGTCTCAAACTCCTGACCTCAGGTGCTCCGTTTGTCTCGGACTCCCAAAATGCTGGGATTACAGGCATAAGCCACCACGCCCAGCCTATAATTTCAAAGTTAAGAAAATGATACCACCTCATCCCCCAAAGTAAATTTATTTGTGTAAACCAGGCTCTTTGATAATAGGTAAAAATACAGCACTTATTTTGGCTCATTGGATTAGACAGAAAGGTTAAGATGAAAAGACGTCCTTTCTATTAATAAGTAGAGATTTAATATTGGGAAGTAACATGGGAATGATACTGCTTTTATAAAAAAGAACTGATAAAAACATTTGTAAAGTAAGCAATGTGCTAGTATTTTGAAGTTAAATAAATACTGGGCTATAAGTATCTTAAAACTTTATTTAAGTAGTTGGGTACTTATTATTTCAGGCCTCTTTTTTCTGGAACTAGCAACATAGCACAAAATTCAAGTAATTGAGAAGATGCCCCTAGACCCTACGTCAAAATAAGTCTGCCAATGTATTTGAATACTGTTTATTTCATTCATATTTGAGACTACTGACAGAAGAAAGATATAATGTGCTATTTCAGATTACATTCTATATTTCTGCTGCCTAAAGAAAAAAACGTATATCTCTTTCTAAAACAAAGTCTAACCACAATTTTTGGTATTGTAATGTTAAGATGAAAGTTTAGAGGTACAATAGCGTATTTTTATAAGTTGCTTGCTATATTCCATTTAATCCTACATATATGTGCACTAAATAAAATTACTAGACTTTGCAGGGTAACTTATACATGTACCTTTAATTTCCTCTGAGAAGCACAAAGAAAATGAGAAAGGAAATGATTAAATGTGCAGAAAATACAATTAAAATAGGAAGATGTTGCACCCAAGGAAAAAAAAAAAATCCACCTACCACACTCAACTGTTTCCTCATCTTAGAAAAGCCAAAGGAAAAAACAAATGTATTTTAAATGTTTCAAAATTATCAGTCAATAAATAAACAGAATTTAGGTTAAAACTACATTTTAGGCTGCACTGTAGGTTTGTTTTAAAAAGAATGCATACACTTGAGTTGTCAAAACATAGTCCTTACATAGCTTATTAAATAACCAAATGGGAAAAATAACCAGAACATAAATCTTTAGCATTTTTTTCAAAATATTATCTTTAATAAGGGGATTATATTTATTTTCATAGAATAGTTTTGGGTTTTTTTTTTTGTAAATCAATCTGTTCAATACTTAAAAGAAATTTCTTGACAAAAATAGTGGAAAGAAGAAAGGATATTAGAAACAACAAAGTTTGTCCTTAACATAAACATATCTAAATATCCCGTAAATTTAACAACCTGACAATTATCAGTGTAATTACACATATCAAATGAGTTATGCAGAATCATTTCTTTTCATTCTGTCTATATTATCTGATGAAATGTATTTTAGAAAGTAATCCTAAACAGTTCCTAAATTACTAATAGGATAGCAATTTAAAAGTTAAATAAGACTTCAGAGACTCGCTTTAAGGTAAGGGTGGAAAAAGTACTGGCAATATTGCGGAGGCAAATAGAGTTATGAGTCAAGGTAAGACGCATTTCACTACCTGACCTCAGAGGAAACAGGAGTGATCAGAACAGTTCTCCAAGCTACAGAATCGTGGCCAAAGAAAACACTTCCAGGAAAGTGTATACCATTGTATTTTTATTTTTCAAATACCTATGGATCCTTAAATTATGTTGGCTTGGTTTGACCAGTATCAGCAAATATCACAAGCAAATACTTATTATTCAGGCTCGTGTTATGAATTACCAAGTTGTGACTTATTTATGCTCATGTCTTAGTAGCTCTACCTGTCATGTGGATCTAAAACAAATTGTTGGAAAACAAAGAATAAACTATATGATGTGGTGTATGCAAACAGCTAGGCATGATGGACATTGGATGGATCATTTTGGAATCTCATGTACTCCATTATAAAGTGAGTTGTTAAGCATAGAGTCTATTTTTTCATAGAACCAATAGGATAAATTGAATATTGCACCCTCAATTAAAGACTTAGTGCCATGGAAGTCAAATGATAAAAGCCATATCACAAAAACCAACAAAAAATTAAAATACCAATGCCAATTCACAAAGAAATCTATAATTTATATTACATAGAGTATATATGTAATATTCTAATAAAATGTCATGAATATGCTGTATAAATTTGCAAAAGAATGTTTCTCCATAAAATTTTTAAGTAGAAAGAGAATGATATTTTTTATATTACTGATACAACCCCACACATATATTCAGTAGCAAGTATCATGCTTAATAAACATCCAGTAAGAAAAGGAAAGGAATGGAGTATCTTAGACTTAGCAAGTTTGAACAAAGAGGAAAAAATATACAAAAGGTTGATCTCAGAAGAGTTGTGACAGTTGTGTAATTATTACTATGTAGAAAGCACTGTTCTGTGTACACTAAATACACAAAATTATTTAATTCCCAAACAATCTATGAGGTCAGTACTATCATCCCCATTTTTTTTCAGATAAGAAAGAACCCTAGAGTGAATTCTCATAATTTTATGTTGCTTTGACATCCATTGTGAATCTAGGCTTAACTTTCTCATGTCAGAAACAGGGCTTAGTCACCTTTGACACAGCTTCAGCTCTCTGCCTCCTTCCAGTTCTTCAAGGCAGCCCATCCAGAAATCTGCCTCATATGACTGCTTGCTGGCGACCACCTCGCTATGGGATGTACAGATACAGCCTATTTGACTCTACACACCACGGGGACTGTGCAGATATGCTGCAGTGACCACCTCTCAGTCATAGCGTAACTCCACGGAACTCATGCCTGCTTTCTTTACACCCACTAATTAGAACTCCCAGAAGGAAAACTTGCTTGGGTAATGCCCTGGACCCCAGTGAAGGTTTTGGCCCCCTCATCTCTCTTGCTCCCCACACACTAGTTGAATCTGTGTCCCAGACAGTTCCTCTCTTCCTGTTGGCCCTGTGAGGCATGCTGCCCTCCCGTCCAGGATCTGTGAGTAATACACTGCCACTGCTATTTCACGCACTCCCACTATTTCATGTTGCCTCCTCTGTGTCTCACCTGCCGAACACACCTGAATCTAAGGTTTTTCCTGGTCAGGACATTCCTAGAGAGTGAGTGACACAGGTAAGACAAGAGCCCCAAGAGTGTCTGTCAATATAATCAAGTCCCTGTGAGAGAGGACATCTGGTCACAGGTGGACACTTAGGCATTAGGCCTTCCAAAAGGAGAAAGAAGTATCCCATGAAAGGCACCACTGCAGATAGTAATGACCATCTCCCCTGCATCAGGGCAGGGCTAGAGTATATAGCTACTCCCTAGGGAGAGCTCAAGAACTAATCAGAAAGAAAAATAAAATACAAACTACTTGTACATGTTAAAATTGGGATTTGGACCTATGCCATCTGGCTCCAGTCTTGAGTTTTTAATTCAATGCTACGCTAATCATGGCAAAACCACATTTTGATCACTCAAGTCTCTCACTAGAAATGGGCAGGAGAGAGGTCAAGGGACATGATGTTTCTTCCAAGTTTCCTATCAACTTAGCATGACCTCCCACTGCCCCACCAGCCCATCCCTCCCCAAAACTTCAATATCCAAAGGGAGAGTCTCCCACTAGGAGGAGCTGGGGAAGGCCAGCTCCTCTCCCCAGTGTTATCAAGAGTCCACCATCTGCTATCTTCAAGCACATTAGAGCAGGAGAGGAAAGTCAGAAAAATCACAAAGGGGAGGCCAAGAAGGTCTCACAAAGATGAAAGTGGCTGAGCTCAGTGGCTCGTATCTATAATCCCAGAACTCTGGGAGGCCAGGGCAGGAGGATCACTTGAAGCCAGGGGTTTGAAATCAGCCTAAGCCACATAGCGAGATTCCATCTCTAGAGAAAATTTTAAAAATTAGCTGGGTGAGGTGGTGCACATCTGTAGTCCCAGCTATTCAGAAGGCTGAGACAAGAGGATTGCTTGAGTCCAGGACTTTGAAGCTGCAGTCAGCTATGACGGTGCCACTGAACTCAAGCCTGGATGACAGGGTGAGAGCCTGTCACAAAAAAAGAAAAACTTTTTTTTTTTTAAGAGAGAGATAAATATGCTGTCTTCAGAGAATGGAATAGAAAGGTTCTTCTGAAAAGCAAGTAGTGAGCCCTGCAGAATGGACAGTAGTAAATGTCCCATTCCACTGGATGTCACTCTGCAAGGGACATGTGTGACACTCTTTGACTAGTGGAGAAACTGTGTCTATACTAGTGTGCTGTTATTCACGTGGGCAAATTCCCATACTAAAAACCACTTTCCTATATGTTCCACCCCTTACTGCAATTCCTCCTAAAAGTCTGCAATAATCCACAACCACAGATCAGACCCCTAAGAGTTAACTAACACTTTCTAACCTGCATGGCATTGGGTCTCTAGGACAAAATCCAAGAGACAATAGGGCTGAGAACCCTTCCTATGGGAAGACTAGAAGCATCTACCCTGAGAGTTTCAGAAAGAACATCTTCAGGAATACCAGGAGAACACAGTTCACTGAGATTAAGCGTGAGCAGTAACAATGAGAACGTTCTGAACCTCAACCACCTAGTGATGTAAGTAATTGGATGTGAAATTTACAGCTTAGTTCATCTACACCTCTTTCCACACAAACTCTGAACTCTGGCATCTTCCAAAGAGTATTAGTATTAGGGAAAAAATACGTTAGGTATTTTTTAAAATCCCATGTGTTTCTGCGTATACAAGACCCCACCAATATTAAGAAAATATTTGACAATGTTTTAGACATACAAATTTCATGTAACACCATAAGCAACGTATTTGTTTTTGAATTAACTTTATGTGTGAAAACAACAAATAAAATTACTTAAGAATCCAGGAAGAAGGAGCTTACTCAACTTGAAAAGCTTTATTACAATGACTTGTAGCGTCCTGTGATATATTATTTTTAATTGTTGGACCTTCCAAACTATTGGTACCGTGTGCAGTGAATTAGTTTTTTTACTCAGTATTTGAATTCATTTGTTGCCTATTGTGATTATCAACTGACAAATGCTTGTCTTCGAATAAACTAGGTTACACCTTGCTTAAATGGATACCCTTTGGCTTCAGTTAAATATTTTTTTTTGGCCAGATGTGATGGCTCATGCCTGTAATCCCAGCACTTTGGTAGGCTGAGGCAGATGGATCATGAGGTCAGGAGTTTGAGACCAGCCTAACATGGTGAAACCCTGTCTCTACTAAAAATACAAAAATTAGCCAGTCATAGTGGTGGGCGCCTGTAATCCTAGCAACTCGGGAGGCTGAGGCAGGAGAATTGCTTGAATCCAGGAGGCAGAGGTTGCAGTGAGCCAAGACTGTGCCACTGCACTACAGCCTGGGTGACAGAGCAAGATTCTGTCTCAAAAAAAAAAAAAAAAAATTCTTTTTACCTGCATAATAACAATCATGACTGGTTAAAACAAATTCTACAATAAAATATTTTGTGTTTTGCTTTCTAATCTTTAAATGGTTGAAAAATTGTACATTTGTTTCTTTGACTACAAAAATTCTTTAAGAGTTATTTTATAAAACAAAAATTTTGAATTAAGGTTATTCAGTCAGCAATATTAGACACTTTTAGGTTCTTATACTTTGGTAACTACAAAAGGAAATAACACTATAAAAATCATGCTTGAATATTCTGTTGTAAAATATATTACATGGATAAGAGCTTTTTCTTGCTCCTTTCTGAAGACCATATATACTGGATTTAAATATTTAATATAAATTACATCCTATTAAATTAAAGTTAAATTAATTTTATGTCATTAGGAAGACTATTCTTAACAGATTTCAATAGAAAAGAAACAAACAATACTTCAAAAAAATCATATTTCTTTCTTTACGGGTAGGTAATATATGCAACCAAACTATAAAAAGAAGCTTTAGAAAGAAAAGTAGAGTACTTTAAATTATATTGACACAAGAAATGAAAGCTGCCAAGTTTCTGTCAAGCAAAACTACTCCTACATGCTATCTGGGACATAAGATTCACTTTTACTCATTTCCGGAACACTTAAGCTATATCTTTTATGTAATAATCTCAAAGCTGGTCATCTAAAGAAAATCTATCAGACTTCAAGGTCTGTATTACGAATACAAATCCATTATGTGGGAACCTATCATTAGATGATGGAGGGGTGGAAACAAATTTCCATTACAAATATCTTTGTTGGATAAGCAATTCTTCCAAAAATAATAGAAGGAGGAGAAAGAGGAAGACACAAGTCCTTATATCCAGCTACTAAGACTTAGAAAGATTTTAGGTTTAAGAGTTCAAGTTTTAGTTTTCAGAAATTTTTTATTTTAAGAGGTAATTTTTTTTTTTTTGGTTTGAAAGACTTTTTTATTCTTCTGGGTTGATATTAGATACACCAAGATTCTTAAGAGGAAGAAATAACCAAGCATCAAAGATGAATCTGACTTACACTTATGAATTTTGCATAAGGAGGTTAGTTTTAAAGCCTACAGTGGTTGTTATTATCATGGCTCCTGATTTTACTTACCTTGGAGCCAAGAACTAGAGCTCTAGCACAAATACAAATATGCAAAGATAATAAGATTGGGATGTGCCCTTTCTTATTTACTTCTATATTGATATTAACTGAAACCCTATAGTTCCAGAGCCATCTTCCGTGAACTTTTCCTCCATGCAAACTTAAGTTATGGTGATACACTACAAATAAAAGAAAGAGCAAAATAAAGAATAAGAAAAAGAGTAATACAACCAATCGCTTTGTGAAAAAAGTTAACTGGCTAATTTGGTAAATGTTATTACATCACTAGATTCATTAATTCAAATCTGATACTTACAATTTCATCCTAGGTTTTAAGTACACTTGTAAAAATTAGTGGAGAAAGTTTTTACATTGTATTTTAAAACTAAATTGATAAACATCTACATGATAGAATTATTCTTCCTTTAAAAATTTTACATTAAATCAGAAACTTTTAAAAAACCCTATTCTATTAATATTCAAAATCATAAAAACAAAAGATTTTATGCCAATTTGCTGTTTTTCTTCATAGCATTTTTCCATAATTCAGCAAAGGGCATGATAATGAAAGTTTCCATTTAACTTACGTATTCTAAAACCCTAAGTACCAAATATCAAAATCCAGAAAGTAGTGGATCAGATGGCCTTTACAAGTTTTAGTTATGTAAAGAATCATCATCAAAACATAGGTTAAAGTGATTTTAAATGCCATTTAAAATGTTCCGGATCAATACAATGATTTATACATAATTTTTAACTTTTTGTGAGACAATATTCAAGAAAATTTCAAGTAGAATTTCAATTCTTAATCTTCTCTTTAATTCTCACAGAAATATATTGTCTGTCTGAACAAGGCCATGTTTGTTAGATGCTTATGTTTTAATAAGGATAATTCTGACCAGATTTATTTGAAAATAAATAACATATATAAAAAAGAATAATGCATCTCTCAGTTTGAATCAAAAGCTAGTTTAATAAAAAAGAGAGAGAGAGAGAAGAAAGAAAGACAGGAGGACCAGCAAACATTTCTGAATGGAATTCAAGAGGCAGACACAGCAAAAAACCAAATTAGTCAAATGAGGACACTTCAGTAAAGATAAATGCTAGAATAAACATTTATCAGATGCAAATACTGAAGTATTAACATAAAAAAGAAATTATACAAATCAACAGACAAAATGACTGTTACAATTAATACTGCTACACAAACACATACACACACACACACACACACACACACACCCCTCACCCTCATATTCTATACAGAAACCAGTTTGGGAGAGCTATTAAAAAGCAATGCATCCCTTTTGTACATACAGTTCTTTTAAAGAAACACATACACACTTATCAAAACTTTTGAATCAATGAAAATTCATAATAATATCAAACAGTAAATTTCTAAGTTGCCTAGGACTCAGAGTTGATCCAGATTCAAGTATAATTATATTTTTTTCATTTTTAAGTTACACATATCTTATCCCACATCTTCCAAATATATTAGAGATGTGTAAGCCCCCTATTTAAAAATCCCTTAAAAAGCAAGTCAGGTGGATACGTCCAAACTCCTTTCTGTTGGTGAGTTGGCTAGTGAAAAGTCATCACACTTACGAACAGTGCAACGTTCTCATGAAAGCTTTAAGCTTTCTGATGTCAGAAGATGTGTAGCATTCTGTGACAAGGGCAGACTTAATGTAGCCAGAACAAGCAGGCTTTTGAATCAGTTCTCCACTTTAAGCATTTGCCTGCTTGTGAGATTTATACTCAACTACGGTTTGGCTCCCTTCTAATGTGATTCCTGGGCTATACGCTTTTGCAAACTGACAGAAATCACAGGAGATGCGAAAAATGCAACAATACTAAAAACAGATGTTGGTGTAAAATTCCAGGGCCATTTACTTGGTCATTTCACTGTTTAATGTACAACTTCTATGCTGAAAACAAAGGGCTGGTTTTTTTCCTCTTAAAATACCTAGAACCATGAAATATCTAGAGGAGGTGAAATAGGAAATTTATGGGATGGAGACTTGAGGAGGTGGGTGGTGGGAAGTAAAGAAAAGCTGACAGAAGGTTAGGTTGAAAGAAGAAAAAAAGTGCTTAAATCCACACTATGTTTTTCAATAGTCATAGAGTAGCCATCCTCTGTCTTTCTCTCATTTTCTTTTAATCTAGTCCAGCGATAACTCCAAACGGACAGGCTAAAGGTCAGAAGTATTATGTTAAGAACAATTGGTCTTGAGCATAGTTGCTTTTGTGCCAAAGAAATTATACAAATCAACAGATTTGTTTCTCCCTAATCTTTACCAAGAAATATCTAACCCAAACCTCCTGTCTTTGAAAAAATAAGAGCTGCATTTTAGGTGACATTTAATAAAGTACCTACATTTGGAAATCAAAGAGAGTAGTAATAGCAGTTACTTTCTTAAAGAGTGAGTCATAGATTTATTATTAACAACCTCAACCACCCTTTTCTCCAAAAGATTCACATTAATATTCCAAATACGAATCTCGTATTTGTTTGTTCCTGAGAAATGATGATCCCAAAGTTATTGCTAGGGTAATATAGAACCCTTTGTTGTGCCACGAGCACCTGTTTTAATAGTAAAAACTAAATAGCAGGGTTTGGTTACTCTATATTCTTATTAACAAACTTACATGACTTCCTGTTGGAAACCTTCAGGGGCTGAACCAATGTTACTGGTCGTCTCAGAGCCAGTCTCCTGGGAGAAGAAAGTCAACAAGCCTATCAATTTTCAGCACAGATCTAAGGTGAATACAACATCAAAATATTTAGTTTTAAGAAAAAACTTAAAGGTTAGATAAAAAAATGAATGCAATGAAATTTATTCAAATTAAGAAACAAATCGTCCACTTTCACATTTTTGTAAATTATCTTCCCTCCCTCCAAAACCAATGGTCTTTTTTTTCCCCACCTTTTACATCAACAGGGTTTCAAGATATTAATGTGCTATTTTCCATTTGCTTCATAACAAAAAATCTAATATGACCCGGTGCTGTCATATTATTTTTGGTCATTCATCATACTTAGTTAGACAAAACAGAAATCCAAACCGAAGGAATAAAAAATCCTAAGGCAAGGTTTCATAGCATATTTTATCACATCAATGCTAGAATGGTATTTTGCAGAGAACAAAAGGTCAGCTGGAGAAAAGCCATTATTATGTACCAGTAGCTCACCTTTCCTGGAAGTGCTTTGAGGGGATCAAGCCGGCCCTGGGATTGGCATCACCTTCGTGTTTTGCTTGCCACCAAGTTGCATCATCTTGGCTCATAATCTGAAGAATATCTCCCTTTTTGAAAGAAAGCCCAGCTTCCTTACATGGAATTGCCTTATCCTCATTAGGATTATAGTCAAAGAGGGCTTTGATAAACATCTGGAAGAAAAGTTTCACTGAAGATGAATAAAGATAAAAAATATACAAGAAATGCCCTATATTCTCCTAACTCTGATTCAAAACATAATAATTTTAAAACTAGAATATTAAAAGAAATGCGTTGTGACAAAGTGGATATGTGTTTGATGGAAAAACACAACTTCCCTCCCACACACACAGACACACAAAATGTTTTGAAGAAATGATTACCTTGCCTTCTTTTGATGGTGTCTCCTCTTTGATGCCGGGTATAATCTTAAATGTAATTGCTCCCTGAGACTGAGCCTGGTATCAGATGAAAGAAAGAGTTATAAGAAAACCAGAGCCAAGGAAAAATAAGGCAAAATAGGTAGAAACTGAAATGCATCTGAAAATTTACAAGCTTGGGGTTTCTACTCTTAGATAGACTACATGGAGGAAACCGTTTTTGTAGAAATTCCTGTAATGTGAGAAAGAAAGCTCTGAAGTTTGTAGCGTAAGTTAAAAAACATTAACTCCTAAATCCACTTTTACTTCCTGTGTACTTTTAAACTGTCACTAAATAGATTCTCATCCAAGTTTCCTCAAAATAGAAACACACAAAATATGCACAACACCTTAAATAAACATGGTATTAAATGACTAGAATAGGTCATGTATAAAGAGCTGAGTGCAGTGGCTCACGCCTATAATCCCAGCGCTTTGGGAGACCAATGTGGCCAGGATCACCTGAGTCCAGGAGTTCGAGACTATTCGGGGAAATATGGCAAAACCCCAATCTCTACAAAAAAATTTTTTAATTAGCGGAGTGTGGTGATGAGGCTAAGGTCTCTTGAGCCCAGGAGTTGAAGGCTGCAGTGAGCTGTGATTGCACAACTGCACTCCAGTCTAGGCGACAGAGCCTGCACTCCAGTCTAGGCGACAGAGCAAGACACTCTCTTAAAAAAAAAAAAGAAAAGGGAAAAATGTACAGGATGGTTCAGGCAGTTACATTTAAGTATCAGCATCCATGTTTTGGGGAACAAAACACCTATATTGTTCAATAGTGTGGTTATAAAACACATTATTCAATTAGTGGCAATGCCTATCAGAAAAAAACAATAAAGAACATTCATATCTATTGTATTCTGGTGAGTAAAATGTAGAGATTCATTGCAAGATGAAACGATTGAGTACCTATTCTAACTTCATTAAAACAGGTACCAGCACCCACAAACTTTTGTTATGTCAGACAAGATCTCTTTTTAAATATACTCTCATGTCATTTTCTGTCTCTCTCTTTTTAGCACTAACTGTAGCCATATTTAATTATGTATGCAATTATTTCTTAAGATATGTTACTCCTGCCAAATTGTAAGCTCCACAAAAGCACTAAATACTTGGCACATTTGAAAGATATGTACTGTCTGTCAATTTCCATGGTAGAAATACTTTCATTATAGCCAATTTCAATTCACCAGCATGAAGTTGCTGAAAGCTGAACTGGGAAATGGTGCATGCAGTCAGCTTTGGCAACCTTTAAGAAGGCAGCTCTAGTGCAACACAGTAACTTAAGTAAAATGGGATTCTGTATACATAAATAACAGAATTTTATAAAGGGTTGATTTATCTCAAAATAGCAATATCATTGCTATTGCTTATTGTAAAAGGCACTCATAAATCTTATTGAGAATTCTTATACTGTAATACTGAATTGCATTGGTAGAGAGAAAACAAAAGTCTTCTCTATAATCTCCTCTTATTTTTCTAGTTTTTGTATGTGTTTTTTTTTAATGGATCTGTGGTCCTTACGACAGTGTCATTTATAAAGAACTCCATCTATGTTAGCAATTGTTATTATTATTACTGCTAAGCCATATAGGTCTATCTCTCGTTGTGATTGCCTCACAATAATCTAGCATATAGATGAATGATTACTTGATCAATGCAACTTTCTTGGTAGTTTCCATATGTTTTAAAAATATTTTGTTTATACATATTTACCAAATTATTGCATGAGGATTAATTTCCAACAGTTGAATTTCTTGATTAAAGGATATGCACATTTAAAATTTTGATAGTTTCAGATCTCAAAATGTTCTACTAATAATTTATTCCATCCCCAAATCATTAAATATATCTATTTTCCTATACCCTGACCAACTCTAAGCATCATCAAGCTTTCCAACCTCAAGTAACCTGGCACTTTCCAGATATCTATGTTTTCTTTCATAAAGTATTTGTCCAAATGCTTTCCTGATTTTTTCTGTAAATGTTTTTCTTATTGATTTTTATCATCTCCCTCTATGTTGAAATAGTACCCTTTTATTATATATATAGAAAATATTTTTCCTACAATCTCATTTGTCTTTTATGTTTCTTTATGGCACCTTTTTGCTGCAAAGGAAGTTTTGAATTTGAGTAGACACATCTGTTATTTTTCTATTTGATTTCCATACCAAGGTTAAAAAGTCTTTTTCTACCTTGCAATTATAAAACTTGTATATTACATTTTATTGCACAATTTTTGTGATAACTTTGCACTTAAATATTTAATTTGCTGGGAATTTATTTTTATGTATTGTAAAACAAAAATTGACCTTATTTTCTGAGTCATTAACCTCATACCATTTATGAAATGGTTCCATTGTCTTCCCACCGATTTAAAATACCACCTTAACCATACACTAAGTTTTCATTTAAGACACACTCAAACCTCTTCTAGTTGCTATAGGTTTCCAGTCTGTTTTCATATATCAAAGAGTTTCCCTTCCTTTTATCTCACAAATGAACTTTAGAATTAATATTGCCGAGGCCTAAAATAATTTTATTCAAGTGTCAGATTTCAAAAGACATCTAAATTAGTTTGACTAATTTGTATTGCTATGATCTATATCCTAGAATATGATGGTGTCAGTGGGAGGAAGACAAAGATAAATGCATCACCAACCACAGTGTAGACAACATCTGTTAAGTACAGACTCAGGACAGGTGCTCAACTTTTTTTTTTTTTTTTTTGGTTTTCTTTTTTGAGACCCAGGCTGGAGTACAGTGGCTCGATCTCAACTTACTACAACCTTCATCTCCCAGGTTCAAGCAATTCTCCTGCCTCAGCATCTAAAGTACCGGGGACTACAGGCGCCCACCACCATGTGCAGCTAATTTTTTTTTTCCTTTAGTAGAGACAGGTTTCACTGTGTTGGCCTGGCTGGTCTTGAACTGCTGATCTCAAGTGATCTGCTTATCTCAGCCTCCCAAAGTGCTGTGATTGGGATTACAGGCATTAACCACTATACTCTGCCCTAAAACTCTTTATATACTACCTCATTTAATCCTCAAAACACTCCAGATGGATAGTTACCTCTTATTCCCATTTTGTAAATGAAAATACTGAGGGATGAATAGATTAGGGTATTTTCCAAGGACACACAGGGATTAAGTGATGGAGCTGGGAATCCAAATCCTGTATATGTCAAACCAAGTCTAAAAGTCTGAAATATACTGATTCAATTTTATTTTTATTGCACCTTTAAAAGGAATTTACAGCTTACCAAAATCTGTATTATTTCCTCAGGACTTTTATCCTTAACTGGTATCCCGTTCACTTCCCTAAGTTCATCACCAACGTGAATAAGACCTGAGAAATAGGAGATTTGGTAAATTAGCAGTGTTACCCACAACAGAAGCTATAATTTGCAGTTGTTTCCATAATTAAAGCATTGTCAGGTGCACTTAATACACTTAACGATTGGAAAAGAGACCTTCACATGTCTCAGGTTTCAGCCTCTATGCCTCTCCACAGCAGTGACTCAAGTTCACAACATAGTAATTCTGGACAACAAATGGTAGCAGCAGCTTGGTCTTTGGCTAGAAATGCACATTACTGATATCTGGTACTAATAAAACAATTTTTATTTATCTTAAAGGCTGCATGCTCTTAGCAGTACTTTTCAATCGAGAAACACAGAAACAAGTTTAGATATAGCTTTGGATGCTTGTGTACAAGACCAGAGAGTAATATTTATCTATCATTTATTTAAATAGGCTCTCACATTTCAACACAGAAAACAATATCTTATTACTTGTTTTGCTGTATTAGATCCAAAGATGATCTTCCTCTTAGTAATCTATTGGAAATGCTATACACAAAATACGTGACTTGTCTGTATTCCGTTAACATTTAAGGTCTCACCACTTCTATCTGCAGCTCCTCCTCTCATGATTCTGGCCACAATGATCGCCCCAGTCTGCTCATCCTTCTTAATTGTAGCTCCCTTTTAAAACAAAAACAAAAAGCATTTGTGGGTAAATGTGTGTATTGGGTGTTAGAAAAAGGGAGGAAATAAGGACATTCATCTGAAAAAAGGGAAAACAACTACAAAAAAAAATAAATGAGGCGGGAAGAATAGACATCATGCCATTTGGCTTATAATATCTATTCTCATGACTAGATATAGGAAATTCTATCTACACAGCATCTAAGGGTTTCAGCCCAATTTAAAGATTTTTGAAATCTTCAACTCTTCGAAATTGTGTAAAATAAACATACCTTCTTTCCATTATAAAAATACCTTGTATTTGAATGCTGTTTGGTTTTTACTCTTTTAAAGCATTTCTTCATTTTATCCTTAGAGTATCCCATCAAGAAAGTGGAATAGTGATAATTACACTAATAGACAACAGATTCTATATGTTAGGAAACTAAAACACAGATCATTTGACTTTCAGTTAGTTCAGTGATCCTTCTATCGCACTCAGTTACCATAGTTAAAAAATTAAAAAATAAAAAAACAGGCCAGGCACAGTGGCTCATGCTTGTAATCTCAGCACTTTGGGAAACTGAGACAGGCAGATCACCTGAAATCAGGAGTTTGAGACCAGTCTTGCCAACATGGTGAAACCCTGTCTCTACTAAAAGTACAAATTAGCCAGGCATGGTGGCAGGTGCCTGTAATCCCAGCTACTAGGGAGGCTGAGACAGCAGAATCCCTTGAACTGGGAGGCGGAGGTTGCTGTGAACTGAGATCATGCCATTGCACTCTAGCCTCGGTGACAGAGTAAGATTCCATCTCAAAAAAAAAATTGGTGATAATTGTAAAGAAAAAGAAAAAAGTTAAAACCCAGAAATTAGTCATATTTGTTGCCTAAGTCTAAGACAAATGATTAGAAGAAAGAGCTCTTACTCCATGGTTTTAGTGAACTAGGATTGTACCTAGTACAAACAGAACTAAGTACTGGCATAAGATTAGGAAACAATCTCAAAAAGAAGCCAAAAACTCTTCACTTACAGATATTCAGAAGCAAATTAACTGCTGCTTTGAAAGAACGACAGGCACAAGCGGTTACTTTGAAAGCCTTTCCATGACTTTCCTTTTAAGAATCTGGCATTGGTTTTGCAAAGCCATCCAACATTGCATAATACTGCTAAAAAGGTATGCTTTTCAGTGGCGGCAGAATTCATCCCAAAGAAGTGGAAATTTTCTCGAGTTTGTCAATAAACACATTTATATCATCATTAAAGAACAGATATGTAAACAAAGTAAGAGTCCATCTGTAATAAGTATCTTCATATGTAACTATCAAATACATAGCTAATGATAGTAAAAAAAAATCGAAGAAGTAAGTGACAGGCATTTTGCAGCATTTTCCATCGCCTATGCATGCATTCAAAGCCAAAAACTTGAATGAACATCTCTCCATGGTCATAAACCTTAGACTCACCAATTATTGGTACTTTCTGCTTTTATTTGAATTTCTAACTCGTTGACAAAATGGCTGGAAATGTAATATTCTCAATATGACTAATTAGTTTGATTAGATCAACTTTCATTTTCCTTAATAATATGGCACAAATTTTCCCACCAAATATGCCTAATGGCAGAAAAGCCTAGTAATCTAACTCTATTTATCCATAGTTTCTGGATGAGAAATTGCATATCAAATGGCCATAATTTGTCTAAGATCAGACAACTAGTATACGGAAAATTCAGGACTTGTTTATGGCAATCTGACCAGAGACACTGGACATTCATCTTAATCATCATCCAATATGGCTTAACCTCTATCTTCCCATAACCTTGCGTTCATAAGTTCATTCTGTCCATTCTGTCATTACTTTTGTGGGAGATTGCATGCCATATTCCCACATTAAGTGTTAAAAATGGTTTTGAGGCTTCAAAGGCTATAAGAAGATCTGTAGCTGCCATTCACTCCTCTGGAAACATCTCACTGACATGTAAGAAATCACGACTGGGCCGGGCGCAGTGGCTCACGCCTATAATCCCAGCACTTTGGGAGGCCAAATCGGGTGGATCACAAGGTCAAGAGATTGAGACCATCCTGGTCAACAAGGTGAAACCCCGTCTCTACTAAAAATACAAAAATTAGCTGGGCATGGTGGTGTGTGCCTATAATCCCAGCTACTCGGGAGGCTGAGGCAGGAAAATAGCTTGTACTCAGAAGGCGGAGGTTGCAGTGAGCCGAGATTGAGCCATTGCACTCCAGTCTGGGTAACAACAGCGAAACTCCGTCTCAAAAAAAAGAAAAAGAAAGAAATCATGACCACGGCTATGCCATGAGGAAGCCCAAGCTAGCCAAGTGAAGATGTCACTTAGAGAAAGAGATACTTGGCCAGCCCCCAACCTTCCAGCTCCAAGCCCAGGTAACAGTTGTATAAATAAAGGAGCCCTCAGTTGACTCTGGCCACCACCATCTGAGTGTATGCATGAGGAACTCCAAGTGAGAACTTCCCAGCTGAGCTCATCAACCCCCAAAATAATATTGTTTTAGTTACAACATACAGGAGTGGTTTGTAACACAGAATTAGTTAAGTGGAACCAATCTCTGTCCTCTGTGGACTGTACTGTTTTTCAGTATAGGGCTACTTTGTTTGTTGTGCTTAATGCTCACCCTTTGGTTTCTTCTGTATTCAATGAGGGCTTATAATAAACTGAGGAAAAAAATGTCTGTTTTCTCATCCTAATGGGGGAGACAAGACAATAAACAAAAGATGGAATAATTGCATACATTATACAGTGTGTTAGAGCGTAGTAGATTAGTCTGTTTTCACACTGCTGATAAAGACATGCCCAAGACTGGCCAATTTACAAAAGAAAGAGGTTTAATGGACTTACAGTTCCATGTGGCTGGGGAGGCCTCACAATCGTGGTTGAAGGCGAGGAGGAGCAAGTTACATCTTACATGGAAGGCAGCAGGCAAATAGAGAGTTTGCGCTGGGAAACTCCCATTTTTAAAACCATCAGATCTTGTGAGACTTATTTACTATCACAAGAACAGCACAGGAAAGACCTGCCCCCATGATTCAGTTATCTCCCACTAGGTCCCTCCCATAACACATGGTTATTATGGGAGCTATAAGATAATTTTGGGTGGGGACACAGCCAAACCATATCAGGTGGTAAATACTGCAGGGGTGGGAGGGGATATAGGGCAGGAAAGAGAAGACCAGGATGCCAGGGCAGGTGGAGGAAAGACAATGAAAAGACACAGGACTCACTGGGAAGATGACATCTGAGTGAACAAAGACTGGACAGAGGTGAAAAAGTTAGCCAATGGGAAGGAAAGGAAGACACAGCCAATGCAAGGTGCCAAGGGGGCTGTGAATGAAATGCTCAAGGGAGAGCAAGGCAGCCAGTATGGCTGGAGCCCAGTAGAAGAGGTGCAGCAAGAAGAGAAGAGGTCAAAGGTAGAAGGGAGCCAGCTATGTGCTTTCTGTGCTTTATGAGTCACTGTGAGGATGCAGGACTTTACTCTGAATGAAAAAGAGGAAACATGCAAAGTTGTGAACAGCAGGAGGGACATCATCTAGAAGGATCACTCCACCTACTGTGTTAAGAGTTGAAGGATGGCAAGTACTACAGCAATGAAATTAATGAGAGGTTAAGACATGTTAGGAATCCCTTATCTGAAATGCTTAGATGTTTCAGATTCCACATTTTTTTCAGATTTGGGCACATTTGCATTCTTGTCAGTTGAGCATCCCAAATCCAAGCATATGAAATCCAAAAAGCTCCAATGACCATATCCTTGGAGCTTGTGTCTGCACTCAAAATGTTTCACATTTTGGCACATTTTGGACTTTAGATCTTCAGATTTGGGATGCTCACTCTGCACAATAATTCAAGGGAATGATGATGGTGGCACAGATCTGACTGGCAGGAGTAGAGGTGATGAAAGGGAATCTGGATATTATTGGTGGAGTCAAAAAGGATTTCCCAATGGATTGTCTATGGAATGCAAAAGAAAGAGAGGGATTAAAGACAGGCTCAATGTCTTTTGGCTGAGCAGTTGGAAGGATGGAATTGCCATCAACTAAAAGGGGTTAAGACAAGGGTGGAACAGATTTGGGGACAAAGATCAGCAGTTTATTTTTAGATATGTGAAAATTGAGATGTCTATTAGACCTCCAAATGGAGATAATGAATAGACAGATGGATATATGAATTTCAGGATTAGAAGAAAGAACTGGAAGATAAATAAATAAACTTGGGAGTCTCTGGCACACAGAAGCTTTTTAAAGCCATAGGCAGGATAAAACCACTTCTGGAATGTGTAGATAAAGCAAAGCAATCCAATGCATAAGGGTCTCATTGTAGAGAGAGGTAAGTGCCCTAATAGAATATTCTTGTATCTCCTGACTCTACTTTGCTTGGAGGGTAAACTACAGACCAAAGAACAATCTCTCACTTTCTACATAATACTACCACTTGAATCAATCTTCATTTTGAACCCTTCATTCTTAAAGACTTCTATTTCCATACTGCTTTCCAAACTCTCTTACCACAATTGCTTTGATATATTCCCAGTGCAACATATTTGCATGAAAATATGATCAAATCTCAAAAACATAGAGCGCATTACATGTGATACTGTAAAAGTCATCAATCCTATGGCATAGTCTGCAAATGCAAAATAGATTAAAAATGGACCTAATATGATAAAACTGACATATTTTCCTACATAATTATTTTGAATTTATTCTGTGTCATTTTGGTTTAAAAATTGAGCATGGAAAATTTCAAGTTAGATTGAAAAAATAAATTCTGGTTAGCTTTTTGATAATTATTATCTCTGTAAAATTTTTTATAAAAGGGACTGCTTACTGAGTTAGTATAATTTCCTTAAACAAAAAATTGATCTATAGAATTACTTGAACCCAGGAGGCAGAGGTTGCAATGAGCCAAGATCACACCACTGCACTCCAGCCTGGGCAACAGAGCAAGACTTCATCTCAAAAAAAAAAAAAAAGTATCTAATTTATCTCCTATTAATTGCCAATATTGCAAGGTCTCCTCAAGTAGGTGGCACAGTGAATTTCAGGCTAAACCTTTGAAATAAGTGTTTTTAAAGTGTGATTTACCAAAAAACTTGCACCAAGAACATCTAAGACACTTTTTTCAAGGGATCTTGCCCCTCAAGTGATCACCCTTTTTCCTATCCATTAACTAATACCTACATGACCTGTGTTCACAGCCTGTTCTCTGAGGTAACCACTCTCTCCTTGAGCAGATGCGATCTAGTTTTTATCTTTACTATTCTAATATTTACATAATCCTTGCATATTGCTTCAGAACTCATAAAGCATTCCAAACACATCATATCTTAGCTGGTATTAAAAAATACTTGCAAAGAGGTATATTTCCTGATTTTCTGATAAGGAAGCTGAGGCTGAGGTAGTGAGGGGTTTTCTCTGTAGGATACAGTGCGAAGTGACAGAATCCCAATTCCCACTTAGGTCATCCAAGGCAAGCTCAGTATTCATGACATCACATTATGGATCCCAACAAACAAAATTGCATTTTTAGATAACACTGGTAACCTACACCTTGGTTGTCAAATGTTACAGCCTTACTTCATGAATCACTTGCCAAGCATTTCCTGAGCATCCACTTGCTAGAATTTTGTTTCAGCTTAGCTTCCCACACTTTGGCTACTTCTGATTCTCATGACTGGGACTCATTCTCCTAAAGATATCTTTGACTCTTAATCTTCTCTCTGTATTTTTCATTTTGCTTTGACAGTCTTGTGGCTTCTCCAATAATCTCCCCAAACTAACAAATGTCATTTAACTGATGTTAAATAACAAATCTGTTGAAAGTATTTTCTATTTTTCTAGGGAGTTTATTTTTTAAACGTTAAATCTGTTCACACAACAATCTTACTTTACCTTAATAATTGCAAAGATAATACACTAATTATGCATTTGAATGAGAAAAATTTCAAGACAAATAATTCTATTCATTTGATTTCATATTCCAATATTTAAAAATCATTGCTATTTAAATGTAGCCAATAAATGCCTATTATTTTATTTGGCTTCATTTTTGTTTTTCAAAAGCATGCTCTTTAGGCCTCAATGTTCCATTTCTTTTAAAGCTTGAGAACATAGAGGAAGCATATTTTAAAGAGTTATACATGGTATGCACCATCAGATTTGGCCTTATCATGACACCAACTCATATCTGAGCATTAAAACTCACCAGTGGTTCTCTATTTTTGACCAGACGGATTATTTTTACTGAGTCTTCCTCATCATCAATATCTTCAGGCATAGGAGGCAACACAGGATCATAATTCTTCTGAGCCACAGTATCATGTACAGAGAGCAAAGCCTGTAACATCCAAAGGTTTACTTAAATATATATGTGTGTATAAATATATAAAATTTTAAACACATCGAACTATAAAGAAAATGAAAACAGCATTACAGTTTTGACACAGTAGTGGTAATAAGGCAATTACCACTTTTTTTTGGTAACAGGTGCCTCTTACAAATTGAATGGGAAATAGTACTTGTTCATAGAGCAGATGGTAGCTTTACTTAGCAGCCACCTCTGTCCCAAGTGTCACTAATCTATGTAAAGAATCAACATATGATCTCCTCTAACCTGTACATTCTCTGGTTTATCCTTATAGGGGTAGCAATTTAGAGCAAGAGTGCAGGGGATGTTACCTTTGGAGGAAGAAAGAACATGAGGACTAAAGATGCATTGTCAATGAGAGTCTGAGAATATTCTACATTTTTTTCTTTTCTATTATTTTTTTCTCCTATTAGCAGAAAACATAGCAATGATCACTAAGATGGATTCTTTTTTTCCCCTCATTTTAATTGTTTGTATAATTGCTGACTACTATGAGTATAAAAGAATAAAAGTAATTCTAGACCAAAAATGAGGAAAACACTGGAACTTTGACATGTCACTATTCACTATTTTAGATGAATGGGTTTTGGACTTTCAATGAACTTGACCCCTAATAAGCACAACTATTCATAAATTACTCAAGCCAAAAGCATAGAAATCATCCTTGAATCCTCTCCTTTTACTGATATTCTCAACATCCAATACATATACTTTTTTTTTTTTTTTTTTGAGATGGAGTTTCACTCATTACCCAGGCTGGAGTGCAATGGCACGATCTCAGCTCATCACAACCTCCGCCTCCTGGGTTCAGGCAATTCTCCTGCCTCAGCCTTCTGAGTAGCTCGGATTACAGGCACGCGCCACCATGCCCAGCTAATTTTTTGTATTTTTAGTAGAAACGGGGTTTCACCATGTTGCCAGGATGGTCTCAATCTCTTGACCTCATTTTTTTAGACACAAGGTCTTGCTCTGCTGTGCAGACTGCAGTTCAGTGGTGGTAACATAGCTCACTGCAACCTCAAACTCCTGGGTTCAAGCAATCCTACTTCCCCAGCTTCCTGAGTAGCCAGGATTACAAATGCATGCCCTGAAGTTCAGCTAATTTTTTTTATTTTCTGTATGAATGGGGTCTCACTATGCTGGTCTCGAACTCCTGGCCTCAAGCAATCCTCCCACTCAGCCTCCCAAAGCACTGGAATTACAGGCATGAGCCGCTGCACTTGGTCCATATCCTATTCAATGTACTATATACCTAAAAATTTTCTTTTCTTTACTCTAGATCAGAGATTGGTAAACTACAACATCTATTTTGTAAGTCAGGTTTTACTGGAACACAGCCATGCTCGTTCATTTATACATTGTCTATGGCTGCTACAAGGGCAAAGTTTAGTGGGTGGAACATCCACTTTTTATATAAAAAGTTAGCAGAAGTAATCCCAGCACTTTGGGAGGCCGAGGCAGAAAGATCACAAGGTCAGGAGATTGAAACCATCCTGGCTAACAAAGTGAAACCCCGTCTCTACTAAAAATACAAAAAATTAGCCAGGCATGGTGGCACATACCTATAGTCCCAGCTACTTGGGAGGCTAAGGTGGGAGAATCACTTGTACCCAGGAGGTGGAGGTTGCAATGAGCCAAGATTGCGCCACTGCACTCCAGCCTGGGTGACAGAGTGAGACTGTCTTAAAAAAAAAAAAAAAGCTAGCAAGTCCCTGGTCTATATCATGGATGCATAATTTTTTGCCTGGAGCAGTAGTCTTTACATGGTCCAGCGGCATTCAACTCAGGCCCATTTTCAAGTCAACAATTCACAGTGTAGCCAGAGTGATTATTTCTAAAACAGAGATATAGACCAATGGAATAGAACAGAGGCCTTGGAGGCAACACAACATATCTACAACCATCTGATCTTTGACAAACCTGACAAAAATAAGCAATGGGGAAAGGATTCCCTGTTTAATAAATGGTGTTGGGAAAACTGGCTAGCTATGTGCAGAAAGCAGAAACTGGGCCCCTTCCTAACACCTTACACAAAAAATTAACTCCAGATGGATTAAAGACTTAAACATAAAACCTAACACCATAAAAACCCTAGAAGAAAATCTAGGCAAAACCATCCAGGACATAGGAGTAGGCAAGGACTTCATGAACAAAACACCAAACGCATTGGCAACAAAAGCCAAAATAGACAAACGGGACCTAATCAAACACCACAGCTTCTGCACGGCAAAAGACACAGTCACTAGAGTGAATTGGCAACCAACAGAATGGGAAAAAAATTTTGCAGTTTACCCATCTGACAAAGGGCTGATATCCAGAATTTACAAAGAAGTAAAACAGATTTACAAGAGAAAAACAAACAAGCCCATTCAAAAGTGGGCAAAGGATATGAACAGACACTTTACAAAAGAAGACATACATGAGGCCAACAAACATATGAAAAAATGCTCATCATCACTGGTCATTAGAGAAATGCAAATCAAAACTACATTGAGAAACCATCTCACGCCAGTAAGAATGGCGATCATTAAAAAATCTGGAGACAACAGATGCTAGAGAGGATGTGGAGAAATAGGAATGCTTTTACACTGCTGGTGGGAGTGTAAATTAGTTCAACCATTGTGGAAGACAGTGTGGCGATTCCTCAAGGACCTAGAAATAGAAATTCCATTTGACCCAGCAATCCCATTACTGGGTATATATCCAAAGGATCGTTCTACTATAAGGACGCATGCACATGAATGTTCATTGCAGCACTGTTACAATAGCAAAGACCTGGAACCAACCTAAATGCCCATCAATGATAGACTAGACAGGGAAAATGTGGCACATATACACCATGGAATATTATGCAGCCATCAAAAACAATGAGTTCATGTCCTTTGTAGGGACATGGATGAACCTGGAGACCATCATTCTCAGCAAACTGACACAAGAACAGAAAATGAAATGCCGCATGTTCTCACTCATAGGTGGGTGTTGAACAATGGGAACACAAGGACACAGGGAGGGGAACACTACACACTGGGGTCTGTTGGGGGGAAGAGGGGAGGGCGGTGGGGAGTAGGGAGTTGGGGAGAGATAGCATGGGGAGAGATGCCAAATATAGGTGAAGGGGAGGAAGGCAGCAAATCACACTGCCACGTGTGTACCTATGCAACTATCTTGCATGTTCTTCACATGTACCCCAAAACATAAAATGCAATAAAAAAAACATAACTAGCCCCTTAATAGCCATTGTAAAGTTGCCCATCAATCTTGGGATGAAGACCAAACTCTCCAGAATCTCCTAAAAGTCCTGCGTACTGCTCCAACTTTATCTTACATTGCCTCTTACTCATTCAACTTGAATAACTCTTTCTCATTGAGGTCTGGCCAAAACATCCTAGAAAAGCAGATCCCCTGGTGACTCGATCCCATAACACCTTGTTTTTTGCCTTTATACATGTCCATCATTTATAGTCATATGTACATTTTATGTTTATATCATAAATATTTGCTGTCTACTGAAACAGAAGCTCTAAAATGACAAATAGTATCTGTTTTTAATCAAATTTTTGAATTGACTATAACATATATACAAAAAGTACAAATCATAAATGTATAGTGTATAGTATAAAATTTCAAAAATGAATATGCCCCTATAAACATCCCCAAACAAGAAATACAACATTAACCAGACTCCAGTGGCCTCTCTTATGATCCTTCCTAGTCACCATGCTTTCTATACCCCTCAACGTATCAGTCTTTGCCTCTATTTGAAAATCATGGAATTACAAGTGTATATTCGTTTTTCCCTAATATTAAGTTAGCAGAATTCACCCACACTGTTACTGATGTTAGAAGTAATTCATTTTTCATTGTTATATAGTCTTCCAACATACAAATATCTCACAGTTTCTTTACCCATTATGCCTTTGAGGGGAATCTGGGTTGTTTTCGGTTCTTAGCTAGTATAATAATGCTGCCATAAACATTCCATATCTTTTGATGCACGTATATATATATGATGTTGGTTAAGTATTTTAAGAGTAGAATGATTGGGTCACGGGTTATATAATAGTACATTCAACATAAGTAGTTTTTCAATTACACTTCTACCAACAACATATGTGATTTCTAGCTGTCTAACATGATCCCAAACATTTTACATTGTTAGTTTAAATTTGGCCATTCTGAGTGTATAGTGGCATATTCTGCAGTTGAAATGTTCATTTGCCTTATAATGAATGAGACTGAAATCATTTAGTGTTTATTGGGCACGTGTGTCTCTTTGTGAGCTGCCTCCTCAAGATATTTGCATGTTTTTCTACTGCATCTGTCTTTTTCTTATTAATTTGTAAGAACTCTTTATCATATAATGGGCCCAAGTCTCTGTCAGTTATTTGTACTACGAATACATCCTCCCTTTTGGTAGCTTGTCCTTTCACTTTCCTTCTTGGTGATTTTTGTTCAATAAAGGACCCTCATTTTAATGAGCTTAATTTTTTTTTCCTTTGTGGTTCACGCTTTTTGTATCCTGTAACAGTTTCAAGGAGGAAAAAATAAACAAAATCAAGATGATAATATACCTGAGAGAGTAACAGCTGCAAAGTTGTGATAACTGATGAGAGAAAGACTCTAAAGGTTCAGAAAGCCCAATATACCCTTTAGGAACAAGGAAAAACAAAAAGAAACCTATGCTTAATAGGTCATAGCAGAACTGCAAAATGGCAAAGGCAAAGAGAAGATCTTAAAAGTACTCAGAGCACAAAAGACAGATCATCAGAAAGGAAAGAAGAAAATTGATTAGCAGCTGATTAACTGCAGCAGTAGACACCAGAAGACATTTCAAATACTTTCAAAGTGCTTAGAAAAAATAAAAGCCAGTCCAGATTTGTGCATCCAACAAAAGTATCTTTCAAGAAAGAGGATGAGGACCAAGATGAGGTTAACAGGAATCCACCTGAAGAAAACTAAAAACTCAAAGT